TGCGGGCGGGCCGGGGCCAGCCCCCGCCGCAGCTCGCCCACGTCCAGCGCCCAGCAGTGCTCCTCGTCCAGGTAGTAGTTGATCTGCACAGCGCTGAGCTCGGTGATGGCAGCCGAGTAGAGCGGGTACTGCGGGATGGGGATCATCACGCCCGTCCGTGACGCGCCCTCCCCAGACACCAGCAGCTTCAGGATGGTCTATGGGAGAGGAGTCACGTGGGCACGGGCACCGTGTGGGCATGGGGAGGCCAAGGGCATGGGGACAGTATGGGCAGGGGGGTGGCATGGGCACAGGGATGGCATGGGGGTGGGGACAGGGTAGGCCCAGGAATAGCATGGGTAGAGAGATAGTGTGGGCATGGGGAGGCCTTGGGCATGGGGTCGGGGTGGGCACAGGGATGGGTTGGACATGGGGACATCTTGGGCATGGGGTCGGGGTGGGCACAGGGACGGGTTGGACACAGGGATGAGGGAACATGGAGACACCTTGGGCATGGGGACAGGGATGGGCACAGGGACTGAGTGGGCACAGGGATGGACTGGACATGGGGACACCTTGGCCATAGGGACGGGGTGGACACAGGGATGGGTTGGACATGGGGACACCTTGGGCATAGGGACGGGGTGGACACAGGGATGGGTTGGACATGGGGACACTTCGGGCATGGGGACAGGATGGGCACAGGGACGGGTTGGACATGGGGACACTGTGGGCATGGGGACAGGGTAGGCAGAGGGGTGGTGTGGGCATGGGGACACTGGGCACAGGATGGGTTGGACATTTGGACAACGTGTGCATGGGGACGGGGTGGTAACAGGGACGGGTTGGACATGGGGACACTGTGGGCATGGGGACAGGGTAGGCAGAGGGGTGGTGTGGGCATGGGGACACTGGGCACAGGATGGGTTGGACATGTGGACAACGTGTGCATGGGGACGGGGTGGTAACAGGGACGGGTTGGACATGGGGACACCTTGGGCATGGGGGCAGAGTGGGCACAGGGATGGGTTGGAGACATGGGGACACCTTGGGCATGGGGATGGGGTGGACACAGGGATGGGTTGGACATGGGGACACTGTGGGCACGGGGATGGGGTGGGCACAGGGATGGGTTGGACATGGGGACACTTCGGGCATAGGGACACCTTGGGCACGGGGATGCAGTGAGCACAGGGACAGAGTGCGCACAGGGATGGGTTGGACATGGGGACACTGTGGGCACGGGGATGGGGTGGGCACAGGGATGGGTTGGACATGGGGACACCTTGGGCATAGGGACGGGGTGGACACAGGGATGGGTTGGACATGGGGACACCTTGGGCATAGGGACGGGGTGGACACAGGGATGGGTTGGACATGGGGACACCTTGGGCATAGGGACGGGGTGGACACAGGGATGGGTTGGACATGGGGACACCTTGGGCATAGGGACGGGGTGGACACAGGGATGGGTTGGACATGGGGACACCTTGGGCATAGGGACGGGGTGGACACAGGGATGGGTTGGACATGGGGACACCTTGGGCATAGGGACGGGGTGGACACAGGGATGGGTTGGACATGGGGACACCTTGGGCATAGGGACGGGGTGGACACAGGGATGGGTTGGACATGGGGACACCTTGGGCATAGGGACGGGGTGGACACAGGGATGGGTTGGACATGGGGACACCTTGGGCATAGGGACGGGGTGGACACAGGGATGGGTTGGACATGGGGACACCTTGGGCATAGGGACGGGGTGGACACAGGGATGGGTTGGACATGGGGACACCTTGGGCATAGGGACGGGGTGGACACAGGGATGGGTTGGACATGGGGACACCTTGGGCATAGGGACGGGGTGGACACAGGGATGGGTTGGACATGGGGACACCTTGGGCATAGGGACGGGGTGGACACAGGGATGGGTTGGACATGGGGACACCTTGGGCATAGGGACGGGGTGGACACAGGGATGGGTTGGACATGGGGACACCTTGGGCATAGGGACGGGGTGGACACAGGGATGGGTTGGACATGGGGACACCTTGGGCATAGGGACGGGGTGGACACAGGGATGGGTTGGACATGGGGACACCTTGGGCATAGGGACGGGGTGGACACAGGGATGGGTTGGACATGGGGACACTTCGGGCATGGGGACAGGGTGGGCACAGGGATGGGTTGGACATGGGGACAC